TCGACATCAACAATATCAAATGTCTCTCAAGTAGCCACAGTATCATGAATGATGTCCTTGAAATGCTTAATGCAACGCACATATGCATAATCCCAGTCGACAATGCGAGGGTGATGGTATTTTCGCCAATTAGTAGCTATAGGAGGAACTGGATGGCCTAGCTGCAAAAAAACCTGCACCAAATGTCACTTGAGTTAGTGGTCATACCTCATAACTTCCTGTACATGCACAAAATGATAAGTTTCTCTTATAGCTGGACGAAATGATTTCCATTGAAACTGCAAATTTAATATGCAATTTACGAATTTGGAATATAAAAGGAAAAAAAAATTACTTCATTCGAAAGTACAATGTCCAAAAAAATGCTACTGTTCGAATGTAGTTGTCCGAACTATTTTTACCGATTCGTAAGTTGAATGTTGAACACTTTACATTATTTCGGATGACAAGTTCCGAAATTAAATAATTATTTTGGTAGTAGACTATTGAATAAATTGATATATTTCGACCCTGATTTTTCGAAAGATGCTGAAAAAAAAACAAAAACAACTTTTACATAGCAAAACTCACCTTTCCTTGACTATCTTTCTCATAAACATTTATCTGCTTCTGGAAATTTGAATTTTCAGAAGTGAAGTTTTCTATAACAATGATGAATGAGGATGAGATTTAGTGTGTAAATTAATCAAAAGCTAAGAATCAAGAATGAGGGTGTTTAGTGTGTAAACTAATGAATGGAAGCAAACAATGAAGGGTTTCAAAGCATAAGGATGGAATGTAGAGGTTTAGAAAACCAAGTATGGAATAATGGAGTAGTTACAATGGACTTGTGGAGCTTCAACAATTTCAACATGAGTCTGGATGTGGATTGAGAAATTGTGTTTATTTGAATTGTGTGTGATGTCCATAATAGTAATTTCAATTAGGGATAGAATTGTAATAAAAATAATTATCATTAAGTGTGTGCAAATAGAAGCTCTTTCAAACACTTCGTCCATAAGGACAAGTTTAGATAGAATGACCAAAATACCTAAGGTATATATATGTGCTATACACAAACCAAACCTAGCAGCTCACAAACTACCTCTCTCCCTCTCTCTCTCTCTGTGTCAATCGCCGTCATCCACCCTTCATTGGCACCCCCGCTCATTCCTCCCCCATGGTCAGTTGCTCTCTGTCTGTCTGTCTGTCTGTCTGTCTCTCTCTCTCTCTCTCTCTCTCTCTCTCTCTCTCTCTCTTTCATCCTTCTCTGATCTCCAAAAGCTCAGCTCTACCGCCACTGGTGATGTCTTCTGGTC